AGAAAGTAGGTTATATGGTTGTCAATGTCATTATTATTATACAGGATTTATATAGCGCCAGCAGTTTGCTCAGCACTTTACAAAATAAAGGGAGACAATACAGCAACAATACAGTTCAATACAAGAGGGTTAGGAGGGCACTGCTCTTTGGACCTTAGAATCTAAGAAGATCATGGTTCACACCAGTGCTTACTGTTCCCGTGCATTCCGGTTGCAGGAAAAAAAAAAAAAAATAGAACGGCACAAAACTGTACTGGAACATGGTAAAATGCATTAAAAATGCAGAACACACATGTCCCTATTGAAATTGAAGAAAGGGGAAATTAACCGGAACACGCCAACAAATTGTCAACAATGCATTTCTATGGTGGGAACCGACCCTTAATATATCAGGAAGAATTTTTTTTTGCGACGTGTGTGTAAAAAAGGATAGATCATGGTTCTGTCCTCTCCGGGGTCTTTAGGCAGATGAGTCACTGGTTTGCTGTTAAATTCTAACCTGTACCACTTCTGCATGACCCAGAGGGTGAATTTGTTGGAAGTAAATCTGTTCCCACTGTGATATGGAAGGAACAAACCCAGCGTGCGCCCCCCCCCCCCCCCCCCCCCGGGCCTGCTCAGTGCAGAGTCCCTTGACCATATCTTCAGCCAAAGGACTCCTCCTGACTGAACTGATAAGAGCGGAGGGTTTGGTCAACATCATGACTGATTCTCCAGAGGCATCAGCAACAAATCCCAAACGCTTTGAAAAACATTGGGAAACCTCTATAACTGATCTCTTCGAGTGCCTGACAACAAATGCAAATGTACCCAACTGTACCAAAATTTCTTATTCCTGGCTATGCTGGCTGTCGCAAGGGCACATCTGAGATTTGACATGGTAGAGTCCCATGCTCACTTAGGAACTGCTCTTCTATCCATGGCACTCCCATGTCTTCTAAAAAAAATAAAAAAAATAAAGTATGCAAGATAAAAAAGGGGGGTATACGAGCACTAGGATATAAGTAGATTATGAGCAGCTAGCATAAAGGTATAACCTCTAAAGCTTTGCTGTAAGAACTGTCAAAAAAATGCAGCGCTATATTTAGAAGATATAAATGAGCAGTACTGTGACAAATTCATATAAATGCGCTGTGGGGCGCTAAGGTAATGGCAAGTGTAAAACATCTATGGTAGTGACATTTAAAGTGCGATAAGTGACATATAATAAATTGAATATCAAATCACACACAATGATAATATAACGTCCAATGATCAAACAAAGGTGAAATCAGTGACTCCCGTGACTGTGAATGTGTATATATTGCACTAACCAGATAGCGCAAATATATGCGCCTTTGAGTTGTCAGACCACTCCTGGTCATCTGGATCTGGAAAGGCAAGGGTCAGGAGATCTGGCAAACCCAGCAGGACAGGTGATCAGCGTGTCATCTCTCTCCAGCTAGGCTCCACCCTAACGGGTTTCTTGCTATGAGCCCTTTGATAACGTGCTCGTAGCACGAAACGTGTTAGGGTGGAGCCTAGCCGGTGACATCACGCCACTTGGGCCACATGGAGGCCAGTGATCATCTTTACTACTGTTATATGCTGATGTAGGTGTATTACCTTATATGTATTCACTAACAAATTGGAAATACTGCACTATCAAGATCTTTGCTTGGGCTCGTTTTATTACAAGCCCCCCCCCCCTTTCAAGGTGGATCCCTATCTTGGTGCCCCATACCTGTCATTGTGAGGTTTTCCATGCTGGATGGCTTAGCATCTATGATGCCTGGATCATGACCCCCTGCTGGATGGATGAGTAATGTTACCTGGAAAGAGATGACACGCTGATCACCTGTCCTGCTGCTGGTTTGCCAGATGATCTCCTTGCCTTTCCAAATGACCAGGAGTGGTCTGACAAATCAAAGGCACATATATTTGCGCTATCTGGTTAGTGCAATATATACACATCCACAGTCACGGGAGTCACTGATTTCACCTATGTTTGATCATTGGACGTTATATTATCATTGTGTGCGATTTGATATTCAATTATATGTCACTTATTGCACTTTAAACTTCACTACCATAGACGTTTTACACTTGCCATTACCTTAGCGCTCCACAGCGCATTTAGATCACAGTACTGCTCATTTATATCTTCTAAATATAGCGCTGCATTTTTTAACAGTTCTTACAAAAAAATAAGATCACACTTTTGATCTTAAAGAGGTGTTCAGATGTGGACATTTGTTCCAGGCTAGACCTTGATCCTCGTTTCAGATTTGAAATAAAAAAATGGGCTGACCAAGAGGAAAAAAAAAAAAAAAAAAAAAATGTTAAGTATGTAATGACAGGACCTTGCTGACAAAAAAATCCTTGACACATCTGGAAGGTTGCACTTACCCCCTTCATCTCCAAAGTCTCAAATTGCTTATGGATCTATAGCCTTCAATGAAAATAAAAGTAAAATATGAGAGAAGCATCCTGAGGAGACAAAAACCGAGGTGAAGGCGTAGAGGACCTCCCTTTATCCTTTGACCTGGAAATGTGTTTTGTAACCTGGTGTGGGAGGCACTCCAAATGGAAGACTGGGGGGTTGGGGGAGGGGAGCTGGGGGAACAAAAAAAAAAAAAAAAAAAAAAACCAGACCCGAGGGTTACACCCTCAGACCTCATGGTTTGAGGGTGTAACCAGATAATGTTGTCCAAAGAGGGGAGGGGGCAATGGGGAAGTTTGATTGGTCCTTATGCTTTCAGAATATTTAGCTGCAGGAGTTCCAGTGGAGTTTAACAAATGGGACTGCTTTGAAGGAGGCAAAAATTATTGGTTTTGCCGAACCTGGCTCTGCAGTTTTGTCAGTTTTTTCTGGCATAGGAAGACCTTTGCTTGGGGGGGGAAAAAAAAAAAAAAAGTGCAGAAAAGACCAAAGAACTCCAAGCAATGTGACAAAATCAGATTAGTTCTTAAAAGTACAGGATCCATCTGAAGTCCTCTTAAGTCTGCATTGTGATTGGCACACTACAGCCCAAGGCCTGAGATCTGTTCTTGCAGAAGCAAATGCTCTAAGTATCCTATGACTGCACATCTGAGACAAAGACCTAGAACAGGGATCGTTGTATACTCGAGTCGAGGCATGACCAAAAGAAAAGAAGCCCAAACCTGAAGTCGTACGACCTGACAGCGGAGAGTTTTATACACAACCCAGTGGCTGCAGCCACCAGAATTGTGTATGAAACTGAGACAGACTCCTGCCAGTCCGGTGGAAGCAGTTGGGTGGCTGCACTGCAGCTTGATTGCTTCCACAGCCCCAAGTTTTCATTGCAAAAAAATAAAGTTACACCCAGGCATAAAACATTCTGCCCCCCAAAAATTGAGGCCTTCCCCCACATACACACGTATGAACGTAAAAGGCATATGTCAGGACGCCTGTGTGAAAATGTCGATTGCACTACAGGTTACATATCACTACGCATGCCGGAGTGAGCAATAATTCTAGTACAAGACAAATTTTCAACTTGTCGCCTATAGAAAAAATATATGGTACTGAAATTTGTTATTTCATAGGCACACACAAAATTAAGGTTTGACATGTTGGGCAGCTATTTACTCAGCGAAACCTTGTCTTTTATATTTTACCATAAATTTGGGCAATTTATTGTGTTTGTTTGCTCTAAAATTCACTTTAGGGTGTTGTTTTTTTTTACTGAAATTTGCATTTCCAAGACCTATGTGGTAGTATTATGTGACAAAAAATTGTAACTAACACTACTTTATTCACTAGGGTATTGGTTTTCAGAAAATTATGTTTTGTTTTACAGTGGTGTAGTCTTCAGGCATACTTTTTTCTTGTTTTAAAAACCATGTGGAAAAACTGCTCTTGCAGAGAAAGGGTTAAATTAACACAACCAGTGAAGAGCTGAAAACACTGCCTCCCACAAAGGGTGGGTTAACAAGGTCACATCTTTAAACCCCTCACTAATACCCCATGCAAAACACAAGCAACACAGAAGGAAAAAATGCCTTGCATAGTATACAGCCTGCTGATCACGCTCAACAAGCAAGTCTTCATAGATGGTCAGTTCAGCCACAGCTCTAATCAGGATAACTCTTCATGGAACCTCCAGACCATACTAGCTTCTTCTGATAGTGAAGCCCTTTGTAAACTTATACAGTGGTGGGAAATCACTGCTGACTGCAGAACTGTCAGACAAAAACACCAGTAAATCTAATGCAGGGGAAACCTGCACTCAATGTCGAACTGGAGAGACTTTCAGGATTTTTAGTATCTGGCAAAAATGTACCATTAGTTGATAGTAGAAAACTCTTCCAATTAAAGTAAAAAAACACAGCAGAAAAGGAAGGAGACATTCATTCTCCTGAGGTGAATAAGCAGGCATGGGAAGGAGGGGTTATATAGACTGTAGGAGCTGGCTCTTAGTTTCTATGTGCCTAGTGTCAGTTTATCTTGTATGTAACAGTACATCCCCAGATTGCTTATCCATTAAGCTGTGCCCCTTAGACGATCAAGAAAAATCAAAACAAGCTGGTTTTTAAAGGAAACCTATGCATAGAGAAATATGGAGAACAAAAATTGCCGTTTTGTATGCTAGTTGCCTGGGCATCAAGCCGACCAAATGGCTTCAATAATTCCACACTCCCAGATCATGTATACCGGGGTAGGGAGTTCTGAGTATTAGCAACATTCAAGTCAGTGACTGGGAAAATAATGAATTCAGGATCATCATGACTGCTAGGCAACTAGCATTTTTAGTAGGTCAGAATTGGCAGTTCCTGTGTTTCTTGTAGCACAGATTACATCTTTCAGCACCTGAACCTTTTCAAAGTAAGAGTTAGCGATTGCGTGTTTGTATGTAATAGTACATAATAGGATAAACCCATAACATTTTAGCCCGATTACAGTTTCTGAAAACGTTAACAAAACTATAGTCATTTTCACTAGGTATTTAAAAACATTATACAAATTGAAATAGGGACTTGTGTTGAACAAATCTCACCTCCTGAGTGATCTGCCTCTGACTCGGTAGTCAAGGGTCCTTCATTGTTCAAGTCTGGAGAACCTCTCTTTATATCTCCATTACTGTAGAGCGCCTTGTCTTCTCCACAAGTAACCTTCCTTGGTAGCTCAATGGACACATTAAACGTTTCCCTCGATAGCTCAATTCCCGAAGAACTCAGCGAGCCATAACCAATACTAACAGTAGATAACACTGTGCTTTGCAATGGGTCATCCATGTTGATTCCTTCTTCTGATGTACATACGCTAAGACTAGAATCCTCCAAGGCAGGTTGGCATTCTTCAAAAAAATCTGTTCTTCTATGAACTGGACTGAAGTCTGACTCAGATGACATTTGATAAACTGATGTATTAGGCAGCTTATGTTTTTCTTCCCTTTGGTGCTCTAGACAGAAATCATTACTTCTCAATTCTGTATTTCCAAGGTCCTTACTTTGTGTTAATTCAGACTCGCACGTACAGTCAAAATCTATTAAACCCAAAGTAAGGTTTGCAGAAACCGAACCCTCGTCACTCTCTTGAAACAACTGCTTACTCTGTGGATCTCTTGTTCGCACATCCCTAGTTTCATCAAGAACTTGACAACTGCCGTCAGACACATCACTTCCTGAGCTAGACAAAATTTCTTGTCTAGCAGCTACAATCACTTTTGAAATTATGTTTATGGCTAGTTGTTCAACTAGGTTTGCCTCATAGTCGCCCAAAAATGTTTTAGTATTTGCATCTTTTGAACTATCAACCATTGGACATGAATTCTCATATTCTTCATTTCTTTCAAGACATTTAGAAAAGGCATCCGATGGAACTCTTTTTAAAGACTGGGTTTCACAGAGTGCAACAATATCTTTATATTCTAATCCTATTTCATCATCTATGGACTGGCAGCACTGTACTAAATGGCTTCCTGCACAGTCTACCTGTGCTTCAGCCACAGAGGGCTGTACATCTAGCTCTTTGGCAGACACTGCACTGGTTATATCCTCACTGTAAGCGCATGGTTTTCCAGGTCCAAGATCACAGACCTCATCAATGTGCTGATTAAGGGCATCACAGGCGATTTCCTGAATTTGATTTTGGCCATGACATGCTGGTACTATCAATTCTGAAAAATGTTGTTTTACTTCTGTGGCTACTAATCCCCTCTCTACAGACTCTGCTGGCTGTAGGGGTGACATTGTATCTACTGCTTTACTTTTAACATAAAACTGAACAATCTGCTCTTTAACAGGCAAATAATGCTCAGATGTATCAAGAACTTCAGTCTGAGCACATATTTCTTGCAACTCAGAACCCTCAGTGACCCTGCTCTGCTGATCAATTACTTTGGGGGGAAACTCAAGAATATCACCTGCCTGACTACAGCCACAAGGTGGCTCAGTGGATATTGGGCAAACGTTTGCTACTTCATTTAAAGCAGTGTGAGAATTATGTTTTGCAGCTTTATTTCCATCAAACGACTGACTGAGAACTGAAGATGTGCAAACAGCTACTCCCTGGGCTTCACTCCCTGGGCTTCAGCTACTCCCTGGGCTTCAGCTACTCCCTGGGCTTCAGCTACTCCCTGGGCTTCAGCTACTCCCTGGGCTTCAGCTACTCCGTTTGCCCTGAAGTGGTCAGGACTTTTACTTTTAACAACTTCCTGATCAACAAATCCCTCCGAGATGCCCACTTCTATATTTTGTAAGTGGGATTCTTTCACCAAGTCATCCTCAACCCTGCAGCAAGATGGAGGTACAAACGGCTCCTGTGCACGGCTGTACAAAGGTGGCTCCTGTGCAGCCAACAAGGAGCATGTGCAGTCTTCTTGTAATAAAATTTCCTCCTCTTTGTCCAGCTGCACAAGTTTAGCCCCAGAACTGCTGTGAATTTCTTCCGAGACATAGTCTGTCTCAACCTTATCCGCACTGGCAGGTATCTGATCATGTTTAGTACTGCATTTGTCTTTCTTTCGTGAGAAGAACCACCAACAGGCAAGGAGTGCCAGCACTCCAGGTAGGGCATAGGGTGTTATGGTGCGCACATGTAGACCCATCTTTCAAAGTGCTCTCTTTCAGATACCTGGAGAAAAAAAAAAAAAAAAAAAAATTAGCAAGCTACGCAAAAGGTTACACTGTACTGATATTTTCATTAAACTCAACCCCCCGCCCCCATTTTCTGTTCTTGGCATCTCTGAATGAGGGCTGTACAGGAATCAAATTTGTTGCCAAGGGAAACATTCACTTCTGCTTAAAGTGGCTGTAAAGGCTCAAGGATTTTACCTTCATGTATTCCGATTAAAAAAAAAAAAACAAAACAAAACAAAACCACCACATCTGTGTGCAGCAATCCCACCCCCTACTTACCTGAGTCCAATCATGATCCATTGGCTTCTGCTGCTGTCAATCATAGCCAGTGAGCCAATGAGGACAGGGAGAGGGCAGGGCAGAGCCACAGTTCTGTGTGCGCACATGGACATGCAAAGCAGCGGCTCAGGAGTGAGCCTGCTCAAGTTCCCCCATAGCAAGCTGCTTGCTCTGGAAACACTTAGGAGGGTTGCATGTTCTCCCTGTGCGGGTTTCCTCCGGGTACTCCAGTTTCCTGACACACTCCAAAGACATGCTGGTAGGTGAATTGGATCCTGTCTAAATTGGCCCTAGTATGTATATGTACAGTAACAGAAGTATTTGAACACCCTGCGATTTTGCAAGTTCTCCCACTTAGAGATCATAGAGGGGTCTTAAATTCACATTGTAGGTGCATTCCCACTCTGAGAGACAGAATTTAAAAAAAAAATAAAAAATTTCAGGAAATCACGTATGATTTTTAAAGAATATTTATTTGTCTTGCACTGCTGAACATAAGTATTTGAACACCTGAAAAACACCAAGAATTCTGGCTCTCAAAGACCTGTTACTGTGCCTTTAAAAAGTCCACCTCTACTCCACTCATTAAACTAACTTAGTAGCATCTATCTTACCTCTTTAAAGACACCTGTCCACCTCACAGTCAGTCTGACGCCAACTACTACCATGGGCAAGACCAAAGAGCTGTCAAAAGACACCAGAGACAAATTGTGGACCTCCACAAGGCTGTAAAGGGCTACAGGGCAATTGCCAAGGAGCTTGGTGAAAATAGATCAACTGTTGGAGCAATTGTTAGAAAATGGAAGAGGCTAAAGACTGTCAGTCTCCCTTGGACTGGGGCTTCATGCAGGATCTCACCTCGTGGGGTATCACGGATGATAAAGAAAGGCGAGGAATCAGCCCAGAACTACAAGGGAGGAACTGGTCAATGACATGAAGAGAGCTGGGACAGCAGTTTCAAAGGTCACTGTCAGTAGAACACTACGCCGTCATGGTTTTAAATCATGTATTGCACGGAAGGTTCCCCTGCTCAAGTCATCACATGTCCAGGCCCATCTGAAATTTGCCAATGACCATCTGGATGATCCAAAGGAGGTATGGGAGAAAGTCATGTGGTCAGATGAGACCAACGTAGAACTTTTTGGTCTAAACGTCACTCGTCGTGTTTGGAGTAAAAAGGATGAGTTGCATCCCAAGAACACCATCCCTACTGTGAAGCATGGGGGTGGTAACATCATGCTTTGGGGGTGCTTTTCTGCAAAGGGGACAGGACGACTGCACTGTATTAAGGAGAGGATGAATGGGGCCATTTATTGTGAGATTTTGAGCAACAACCTCCTTCCCTCAGTCAGAGCATTGAAGATGGGTCGTGACTGGGTCTTCCAACATGACAACGACCCGAAGCACACAGCCAGGATAACCAAGGAGTGGCTCCGTAAGAAGCATATCAAGGTTCTGGAGTGGCCTAGCCAGTCTCCAGACCTAAATCCAATAGAACATCTTTGGGAGGGAGCTGAAACTCCGTGTTGCTCAGCGACAGCCCCGAAACCTGACAGATCTAGAGGAGATCTGTGTGGAGGAGTGGGCCAAAATCCCTGTTGCAGTGTGTGCAAACCTGGTGAAGAACTACAGGAAACGTTTGACCTCGGTAATTGCAAACAAAGGCTTCTGTACCAAATATTAACACTGATTTTCTCAGGTGTTCAAATACTTATGTTCAGCAGTGCAAGACAAATAAAAAAAAAAAAAAAAAAAAAATATCATACAATGATTTCCTGAATTTATTTTTTTTTTTTTTTTTTATTCTGTCTCAGAGTGGGAATGCACCTACAAATGTGAATTTCAGACCCCTCCATGATTTCTAAGTGGGAGAACTTGCAAGATCGCAGGGTGTTCAAATACTTTTGTTCCTCACTGTATGAATGCAAGCTAGGGACCTTAGATTGTACACCCCTAGAGGATCAGGGACTGATGTGAATGTATAATATATATGTAAAGAGCTGCGTAAATTGACGGCGCTATACAAGTACCTGAAATAAATGAAAAAAATAAATAGTTTTTGGATACATTGCCACTTACAGGTTAACAGTGTTAATTACCTTGGTAAGTCCCACTTTCTAGCATCTTTCTACTCTAGAGACAAGCGACCCACACACCACACTATGTACAGTGCAAGGATTAACAAACTTTGTTGCAGATTTCTAACTTGTTATTCTGGAGGCCATATTGCATTCTACAGAAAATTACAACACTGCAGGTTGAAAAGGAAAGGTAATTTTTAATAAAAAATTTAAATTACAATATGATTACAGCCGTTTTTTGAGCCATTTTTTCGCCCCAACAAAAGTGGAGTTACCTTTGAAATGGCAGATGCTTTTCTTTTTTTCTTTTTGTTAGTGTTAAAATATTGACTTTGCTTAGTTATACTTGCCTTTTTAAGCAAATGCTGAAAAGTGAACAAAATAAGTCAGGTGTCTACTGCTGATAACCACATCAGAATAAATGTTGCTTTTGCCAGGTAAACAGTAAAATACCTTGAATAAACAAACAGCAGCAGTGTTCAGAAGTATGCTCTTTTATAAAACGTTAGAACAAGATACAACATTCCAAAAATGTGCACTTGAACATGTTTTAAAAATATTTAAAAAATTGTATTAAGCAGCTAGGCAGTGTAAAAAAAAAAAACAAAACAAAACAAAAAAAAAAAAAAAAAACACACCCCTCTCCATAAAACCAACATGTACAACTACTGAACAAAGACCACAATTCCTAGATTTATATTTTGCATTGAGACATGTAGTGAAAATAGCTGCAACATAGCAAATATGAAAATTCTTTGTAGCTTTATCTATAACTGTGGTTGTCAACTTCAGCAGTAAAAGGAGGTCCTAAATGTGTCCCTGATGTCACCCAATATTTATAGGTAATTCTACCGAAAACTGTCAAACTGAAGAATTGCTAGAAGTAACAATTAAAAATTATTCTACAGGTGTGTTTAAGGACTGAAAAGTATAGCTAAAGCCTGCACATCGCAGATCTGCAAACCCAGCTTGACCAGACACATGCAAAATAAGAGGATCTGGAAAATGGAACATGGCAGTATAACTTCATCTGCCTGAAACAATCAAAGATTTGGAAGGGGCAGTGTAGACACTAATGGGAAACCTTATCCCAGATATCTCTGAACACCAGATGGAGGTGGATAGAGCCCACCAGGCACTTGTGGCTTGTAGGCCAGATTAGCTTTCTAGGGATGTAATAGTTAAAAAGGATAAATTCACTTTTTGTAACACGTTCTAAACCCATATTCAGGGTGTATCATGTTACTGTTGAAGCAGTCCCCACATATGCATTTCTATTTGAAGGATAAGTAAACTCATTTTTGCATATTTTACCTACAGGTAAGTCTTTAAGGCTTATCTGTAGGTACTGTAAATATCTCCTAAACGTGCAAGGTTTAGGAGATATTTACTCTAGAATCTCCGGAGATCTCACCGGCACATGCGCACTTTGTTGTAGCCAAAACTCTTTACACATGCGTGGGAGCGACGACATCGTGGCCCGGCCGACCATATGGCCGCATCTCACGGACCCAGAAGGAAGACTGGGTGAAGATGGAAGCCTAGGGAAGCCGTGACAGCGATGTGCCGGAGGGCTTAGTTTTCAAGTAAATAATTCATAATGTGTAATTAAATGAATAATGCATTCGGGGCAAATTGAGGAACCATGAGCGAAGGCTTGAGAGTAACAAGCTGGTCATAAAGTACCCCTATCCATCCATCCAGGAGTGAGAGCTTGGAGGAAGATAAGGGTTGATTCAACATCTGTGATGTGGGAGATCAAATGACCCTATGGAAATTGGGGCTTAATTACCTTATGTGAGTGTAAGAAAGGTTTTTGTTTTGCATTTTTTTATAAAATATATATTTTTTAATTGGTATATAGCAATATATCATTGGTATCTTTTGCTTTTGTTTTTCGCTACGAGAAATATCTGGGAAGGAGAGTCAGTGTGAGATCGCATAAAGTTATATCATCTCAGAGGACACCACACCCCACCTGCAGGCTTGTCTTTTTTGCATCTTAAAGCCATAGCAGTTTGGGAATTCACAGCATTTGGCGAGTGGGGATCTATATAATGCTTTTCACAGAAGATGTGCGCAAGCTGGAAAATTTATAAAGTTGAGTAAATATTTTTTTCACATTTTTTGGGACATTGGACTTTAAATTTGGGACTTTTTTTGGACTTTCACATTTTTGATTATTTGCGCTGTATTTTTATTATTTTTTGATGTTTAGTCAATCCTTGAACAGCAGCATTTAATTTTTCACCTATTTCCTTGGTGCCAGTTTGATACATATTTTGTGTAGTTACAGTCAATGGCTCTTCGCAGCCCAGCGCTCCAGTAAGAACAGGAGAGACAGAGGGAGCAGCTGGCTCAGGCTCTCAGTGGATGGCTCTCGACCATATGGTCAGGAACTTTACAGAGTCTGGACCGGCTCTGTGACTTCTGGAACTACACTCCTACGATTCCCTGGAGAAGTATAGCCAAAACAGCTTTGGCTATACTACGCTATTAAAAAGTACTCATGTATAGAATCAATATTTAGCAATCCAGTTTCCCTCTGGTCTTCACCCATGGGAATTACAATGGTGGATAAAGGCTTGTATTGTGTGGGACACTTCTTG